TCTAACTGGAAACAAACACAAGAAAGTTTAGAAAGTGATTTTCTGGAAATCACTTTCTGAAAAACAAACACAACATTTCTTGGAAAACACTTTCCTGAAAACCAAGCCGAATTTTTCTTTGATTGAAAAATATTTTTTTCTTGATCAGAAAGTGTTTTCCGTTAACCAGAAAGTGTTTTTCAATAACCGGAAAATATTTTCCGTTGATCAATTTTTCTAATGACAAACAAACACAAAAAAATTTTAAAAATATTTTTTAAAAAATTACTTTATGAAAAACAACCATAGCCCAAGTAAGAATCTTGTTTGAAGTGAACATTATTACTATATATGCATCAGCTTCGGCCATAACATGAAAGGAAGAAGGGTGTCTAAATCACAACCATTCATTCATGTGTTTATATAAAAAGTTTCAGATGCAGTTAACCTTTAATTTTCTAAGTGCATGGTGATAAAGTTTTTAAGATTTAGAGTTTTATTTAATTATGTATATTTTATTTTTTAAAATTAATATAGATATCCAAACTAATTTATATATATATCAACTAATTTTATAAATTTTAAAGTTAATGAAAGCTTATTTTCTTCTCTCTTGAAAGAACGCCTTATATAGGCAGATACATATGAAGGTTACAGAGTTCCTGTTCTAAAGGAATACACCAATACATATCTTTTAGAATTCTGTATGTCTTTTATATATGAAAAGTTACCCTCCTAATTACACGTTAACACATGGAACGGATGCTAACATGCACTTCATTTTCTTGATATTCTTGATTCTGGGTCCTTTGATACTTCTTAATTTAGTGCTCCATCGATATGCATGCATGTTAGCAGCTGGCTAATATACCTCTCTTATAGAGGTTGTGAGTATTTTCCTTGTGCTTAAGATGTGAAAATTTTCTAGCATGAATTCTTCACGTAAAATCGGGGTTCCTTGCCAATTTTATTTGATTGATTTTATTAAGAAGCTTCTAGCTGTGAGGCAACATGCAAATAAGAGTTTAAGAAATTTTAAAAAATTATTCCTAATAGATATATCATTGTAAGCGGAAATATCTAACCATTTATAAAATTAATCCAAAATTTATGCTAGTAAGTCTAAATTTTGATTCAAATAAATTTTGTATTCTAATTGAAAACAAAATATTAATTAAATTCAAATAAACCTTGTGTTGTAAATCGCGTAAAAGAAATAAAGTCCATAAATCTGATTCTTATGCTGCTATGATTAGAGAAGAAAAAAAGAAAATATTGTAGGTTTGATGCAGGGCTTATTTATATGCTATAATACTTCCCAATAATTCTAGAAACTAAGGCCTTGTTTGTTTGCTGAAAAATTATTTTTTTTTATGTGAATTTCAGAAAAGTGAATTCCGAGAAAGTGAATTATTTTTCGATGTTCGATAGTGTAATGGAAAATAAGTTGAAAAACACTTTTCAATATTTGGTTATGTCATGGAAAATGAGTTGGAAAATAACTTATTAATGTTTTATTTTTTTCAAGTTTATTAAAATAATAAGGAACAAATCTTACAAATTAAAACATTGAATAAGAATGAAATTGAAAAAAAATATAATTTCATAAATTATCTCAAATAAAACAAATAATAATCAAAATAATAGAGATCAAATCTAAAAAATTAAAAAATTGAAAGATGAAAAAATTAAAATAATAATAATTAACATTTCATAAATTATTTTAAATAAAATAAGTAACAATCAAAAGAATGAGGATCAAATTTGATAGATAAAAAAATTCATTTAAAAAATGATAAGGAAAAAGCAAATAACAATTATAAAAATGAGGATTAAAATTAATATAAAAATTAAAAAATAAATATTCAAAACAAAATATATTTAGAAATCAAAAGTTTGAGGATCAAATTTGATATAAGCAGCAAATAATATGATATTTCTAAATTTTTCATAACTTCCGGAAAGTGTTTTCCGCTCAAAATAAAAGAAAAACACTTTCCTGAAAATCAACCAAATTTTTTTTGATTGAAAAGTGTTTTTCATTGACCAACTTTTCTAATGACAAACAAACACAGAAAAATTTGAAAAATAGTTTTTCAAAAATTACTTTTTAGAAAACAAACACAACCTAAATGAGAAGTTGTCGTCGAAGTAATTTACTAGATAGAAGAGGATTTTAATTATAACCTTGTATTTATCATTCTTTTAAAAGGAAACTAATTGTTCTCCTTACCCTTCCTTATAGAACTAGAAAACTCTCTAAAATAAGCTAACTAATTTGTTATGAAATACTATCGGCCCTTGTTTACTTGTGTTGTTAAGATAAATAAGAAATCCTTGTAAAAAAATAATTTTAAAATATTAATAAATCTTTACCAAACTTAAAAATTATGTTATAATTCATTAAAAATATTTATAGAACTACGAAATTTTCAAAACAAACTACTCCATCCTTGTAGGAAAAAGATCCTTGCCAAATAAAAACTCCACGAGTTAAAAGAAAATAAATAACAAAACTTGTATAAC